GTGGTCAACAGTATCGAATGCTGCACTAAGGTCAAGAAGGACAAGCACAGAGATGAGTCCACTGTCAGAGGCCATAAGAAGATCATTTGTAACCTAATGCCATAACATCGGCTGTACTGTTAGCTGTTTCTTATCGGCTCTTTTAGATGTTTCCTGGCAAAGTCCAGTCTGACCTCCTCGTTCTTGAGTGTAACCAACAGTTCTACTTTCTCAAATCTAGGAACTAAAAGTAAACCAGCAGTCTTATAGCTAAGATCGGTGCCTGATTATTCAAGATTTAGTATGTGAGGAGAAGGATTTTTAATTCAGTTCTGAATTTAACAGCGAGCCAGTGAAGAGAAATATGCTCTCTGTGCCTGGTTCCTGTCAGTACTCTGGCTGCAGCATTCTGGATCAGCGAACGGCTTTTTAGGGAGCTTGGGTATATGCCCACGTCCTTGAATGTGTTACTGTAGCAGAGGTTAAAATGGTTAAATGTTGTGAAGGGTTTTTATAACAAAGGAAAGAATTCTGCAATCATCCACTGCAGTTATCCTCTGTGGTCTTGCAGGTCTTTTGGTGTTGCTGAGCTGAGCGGCGCATTCATTCTTTTTAAGAAGTTACCACGCTGTTGGTTTGGCCACTCAAAGCTTTTGCTCTCTCTCTGGTTGGTTTATTTTGGGCGGTTTTCAACTCCTTCACCTAAAAATCTAAAAACTGCATTTTCAATAATTAGAATCAACTCGGTGTTTTGGTTTTTGTTCACATTTGCTTCAGTTGTCATTGTGAAAATGAGAGAATAGGCCATGAAGCTGCTTGCCACAACTGGCAAAGCAAATACGCCTATTTCCAAATCCCAGTTTTACACTGTTTAACCCACGTGACTCTTTTAAAGATCAACGTATGGAGACAAACGGGGGGGGCGGGGGGGATTACTTCTTTTAAAGAGGCTTTGTTAAACCTATGATTCATTCAGATTTGAATGTCATTTGACTCAACCTGATTTGTCGTAATCAAAAGACACTTAACCGTCGGCAGCAGTACCAGAGCTTTTAGCGTTGCTGTAGTTTTCCATGTATGAGAGGTGGTCCTGCTTTTTGAGGCTTGTTGTTTTTGCTTTTATTTCTCCTCGTTGCCGTGTTTGGGTGTTTGGGAAAATGCTGCTTTGTCAGCAGGTCAGGTAGATCCCCTCCTCCTCCCTCCTCCCGTTCTTCTTTTTCCGCCACAAACATTAAGTGCGCTCACACACTCACTGCCACATGCACACACACACACTCATAATCTCTGCTTTGTCCTCTTTTCTCCTCTTTCCCTCCCTCTCTCGGTGCACGAAGGCAAACTCAGCAGACCTCCAGGCTGCCAGGGTGGAAAGGCATTCTGGGTAATCCAGGGTGCGAGGAGGGAGAGGGAATAAAAGGGGAGAAAAAAATCCCAAAAAACAAAACACACTTGATGCAGTGCATGATTTTGTACACACAGAAACACAGACACACACACCAAATCCAGCCTCTCGCTACTGAACCATGGAGCTGCAAATATCCATCTGTGTCCATCTGTACGTTCATCTGCTGAGACAAATACAGCCTATGTTTACAGCAGAATATAGAATCTAAAAACTGCACGGCATCCTGTTCGACATTGCTCAACATTAACGATCGAGAGATATGAGAGCGAAGGAACAGAGAGGGTGGCGGGGTGGAGCAGAGGAGGATACAGGGGTGTCGTCAGTCTGCTTTTATCTCAGCTCTGATTAAACCTTGTTCCTGTCTGACCTAAAAAGTCAGCTGGCGGAAACTTCAGAGACTGTTGGGTGAATTTCGCTGGATCTCTTTACACCCCTCCAGTGCCTTCAGAGGGGGAGAGAAAGTGAAAAGGAAGATCAGAAAAATAGAACAGAGAGTGGGAAGATACTGACACAGATGCAGTCACTCTGGCTTCATGAGTCCACTGTTCACACGTTATTGTGTACAATATATGGATGTACGTACACTCTCCCACACTGCGCGTTGTCTGCTCTGTATTCCTAAAGAGGATGAGGAAGAAGAGGCCGGTGCTGGGTGGTAACTTGGTTGTACAATGCGACAGGAAGCAGACAGAGGCAGTGCTGAAATGATCCAGCGCCACCCGTCTGGGACAAGCACAACAAAAACGCATTGAATAAAAATAAACCTGGGCCAGCATGGCAGGGCATCTGCAGAAACAGGAAATATCCCACTGAGGGAGAGAGATGGGGAAAGACCCTCGCAGTGCAGACTATGACTTTTATATAAGTGGTGGCAGGCTTATCTGGTATTTGGTGTTGGATGTGTTATCTTTGCAACATGGATAAGTAAATTCCTGCTTTGAGGAAGACAGAAATTATCCAAACTATTATATCTGTTTGTTTATTCTGCAGAAAAATGGAGAGTAGCTGATGAAACAGGTGAAAGAGGTGTTGAGTTTGTTGTTTCTGACAAGTCTGAGATCTGAGTTGAAGTCTCCCTTTTTCGCCATTTGTCTTTTTCAGAGTGCCGCAGCAGCACCGAGCCCAGTCCTCGGTAACCTTCCCCCAGGAGAGGGCATGCCAGTAGGGCCAGTCCCACCGGGATTCTTTCAGGTATGCATGCAACGCAGAGCTGAACGGCCATGTTTCTGTCACTCCAGAGGATGTAATATCAGCTCAAATTTAAGCTTCCCCAAATTTGGCGGATTCAGTCTCACTTCATTTCAATTGCATTTTATTGAAACTGCTCCAAATCACAGCAACAAGCCATCTCCAGGCATTTTAAATTGAAAGAGCGCATTGCAAACATCCTAACTAGAAACCCAATGAATCCCCTAAGAGCAAGAACTCACTCTCAGATAACAACAACTGTATGTATATTCACTTACGTTACATTTGATTTTGTGTACAATCTCAAACACAACTAATCTGACAGGAGAGATAAATTTCTGGCACACAAAAACGCACACATGCAGCATTGCCCCAGATCATCTGTGAAGGCCTCTGCCAGTTGTACATCGATTAAACGTCATTATCAGTCAAATTCAGGCGCTCGGATTAGACGCAAAGATCAATAGTCTTCCCGGGCATTTCTTAGTTCCGCTTTCATAAACTCACATGTGAGTCCGAACGGCTTTTTCCGTCTCCTTCTGAAGATCAGTCACTCTTTGAAGGCAAGGTCTTGTCAGGACCTCTTAGTTAAAGAAATATAACAATTACCTGATTGCCAGCTCTTCTGTCTGGTTTTTTGTGTATGAAATATAACAGAATATCTGCACTACTTGGGGGGGTTTTTTTGCGATAAATTGCACATTATTTCCAAAGTCAGTCACAAATGATGCTTCGTTTTATTCATTCAAATTCTGTTACGTCATTTGCTGATAATGATTAGTTGTTTACATTTTTTAATTAATAATAAAAAAATAGTAACACCATCACTAAAGAAACCTAAAATGCTGTAGCTTCATCCATTTGATGTCTCTTAAGCACAACTAAGACAGCAATTTAAGTGAAGGCTCTGATTAAATTAAGAGGACTATTGCTCTCTAGTGGCAGATTTCTGCATTGCTCCTCCACCACTGCAGAGTGGCTCTTCTGTCCGGGGTGGCATCAGTTCAGCAGACATAGCAACAGCATTGCTACTGTCTGTGGTGAGGACAAGTGAAAGCCCACTCACAGCTGCAAAAGAGCTCCGCATACAGGCTGCCAAATTCCACAGAGTTAACACACGCACTGACATCATTATCATCCTTTTTTTCCTGTCATTTTTTTTTCTCCCCCTCATAAATTCACTCCAGTGAAAATGCGGTCAGCTTCTTCCGTTTGCTGTATGGTTAAAGGAAAATTAGCCCTGAATTCAAGTGAAAACATAAAAGCAGCTCTGGTTGGTTCCCTGCTTTGAAGAGCGTATAAAGTTCCCACTGTGCCACCCTCTAAATCTTTGTTACACATGTGGTCAGTCCATTTATTTGTCTGCATGTAATATTTTATTTGCCTAATTTTTAGCCATTTATGTCACCTCGATACCCCGGAGGACCAAGACCGCCCCTCAGATTACCGAATCAGGTAAGAGCCACACTGACCCCTGCAGGCAGCAGACGTAACTGAATTGTACAAATGAGCCAAATTGCACGATCTGATATCCTCGTGTCGGTGTTGTTCCCACATCATCATAATAAATGTTGTTCCAGGGTCCACATTACAAGTAACCAATCACCTTCTTGTGACGTCATACTTTTGCGACTTCGAAAAATACCCGCCTTAAAAAAACAAATGTTCTTCGAGAAACCGCCTTTTGTCGTCCGATCCAGCAATTTCAATTCCTCTCAAGATACTTTTCTTTAATAAACGGTAAGCATAATACATATGTTTTCCTTGAAATGGATAGCTGTTTGTTAGCTAGTGATAGGCTACTTGCGAACCAGTGTTCTCCAGACAGAGAATTGCGTGTCAATGTATTATGATTTATTATGAAAGTACAGGTGAATATAGCTGTCATAACAATGTCAGGCAAAATTGCAGTAGCTTCCCTGATCATTTTACAAACATAAGTGAAGAGAATTTGAACTAAAAGGCCTAGACTAATGGTTGTGTGCTGAATCTATGAATCAAACTATCACCTGGAAACATAATTAACTGGTCCATAGCTGTGAAACTGGACATGAGTTCTTGATTCTATGGAGATTAACAGTAATCCAGAAATTTTCAAATTTGTCCTGAGACATCGCGTAGAAGTTGTCCCAGGGACATCATGTTAAAGTTGCCAGAGACATACCATATGAAAGCTTAGCTTCTGTTAGCCCCTGTTTGTTTTATATTATATATATATTGTTTTAATATTATATTTAATATTTACATTGTATTGCAAAAAACCCCAAAACAAGTTAAAATGAATTAATGAATATTGACTAATTAAACCTTTGTTATTTTTCCACCAGAAATGGACGATATAATTAGAAGAAGTGTTCTGAATGACGAAAAAAAAAGAACTGGAAAAGATACACAACTTTGTGTGCATGTGTCACAATGCCAGGAGGACCCTCGTTAACTCATTAACCCTTCATGGACATTATAAATGTTTAAATGTGGCCTCAGGTAAAGACAGGAAAAGAGACTATTACAAATTCAACGGCATCAGAGCTGGGGAAAAAAAGTCGAAACAGCTACAGAGCAGTGGGCTGTAAGGCCTATGTTTCATTTAAAGTACTCAAATGTTGGAAAGACCACACAGTCATCGTGCAGCGTACATATGATAAGCATGATGGGCATGATCCTTCGGACCCAAAAGACGCACATTTCAACAATATTTCCAGTGATTTGAGGAGGAAGATTGAGGAACTGCTTTCCCTTGGAACTAAGCCAGCCATCATACTAACCGAATGTCATAAATGGGCCAAAGAACATGGACACAGAGATCTTCACAACAGAGAGCATTTTGTCACACCACGTGACATTGACAGAGTTAGAACCTGCATGATGAGGAAGAAGCACTTTAACTGTGGAGACAGTCAAAGTGTACATACCTTACTTAATGGAAAACATCAAGAACATGTTCTCTTCTGTCAACCATACACATCTGACCAAGAACTAATGATTGTTTTGCAGACACCTGTAATGAAATCAAACATGGAGAACTATGCAAAACAGTTAGTATTTGTTGACACCACCCACTGTGTTAACCAGTATTCATTTCCCTTATTCACACTTGTTGTAAGAGATGATCATGGGCATGGAGTCCCTGTGGCCTATGCTATTGTCAGCAACGAAAGTCAGAAAACCCTGGAAACTGTTCTTGGAATAGTTTGTGAGCATTTCCCAACTTCCCCGAGGTAAATAATACATTTACAGCTATTGATTTTGAAATAATTCCTTTTCAAAAAAGTTATAACATGCCAGAATCTAATGCTATAGCTGCAGCATGGGCTGCAAAAAACTTTCCTTTCCAGTTGTTAAAGTTATTCCTATAGGCTGTATGCAGTATTTTATATATCTACTTGTGAGTTGAAATGTTTAATTTGGCATTGAAGTGGTGCTTTGAGATAGCAAAAACATGTTCATACTGTTTAATCTAATTTAGTGTTTTCTTTTTTTCTGTAGAGCATTTATGGTTGACAAAGACTTTGCGGAAATAAATGCTTTGCAGAAGGTTTTTCCAGAGTCAGCTATCCTTCTATGCTGGTACCATGTCTTGCAGGTAAACCACATTGTTTTCTTTTCACGTTGTCTAAGATGCACCTGAAACACATTTTTACAACAGGGTCCTGTTGTTATGATTTGCCTCATTGTGATATTCACCTACTCAGGTTAATGAATATAAAGGGATAAAATGTTGAGTGACTATGTCCATCCATTTAAGACCACAGTGCACTCATCTTCTGGTGGCTGCTTCCCAAAGCTCCTTTTGACATTTAAAAATATGTTTGCCTGGTTGATTTCTGTAATGCACAGGTCCTCTTGTCCAGTGAGTGACAAAGTTATTTTTGGACGTCAGCTTTCTTTTATGCTTTTTGTACAGCTGCTCCTCTGTCTCTCTCTCCAGATTAACTTTTTTTCTCTTACATTCACAGGCTGTTAATCGATGGCTTTCAAAATCAGAGTCCGGGGTCCATGGGCTTTCTAACACCCAAAAGAGAAATGAAATCATTTCTTTCTTTTGTAAGCTGAAAGCTTGCACATCTGTAAGTGTAATTTGTCTATTTCACATTTTGAGTTCTTGATTACACTAAGAGCATAATAACTTTCAGTTGCTAAAAAAAGTTACAGAGAGATAAAAAATAGATTTTTGAAATGATTTCTAAAACTGGCTTCTTATCTTGCTTATCAAAACAAGTACTTAAGCTGTGCAGACCATCATTGTGTCACCCACTGTGCAGTAGAACTTGTGAGTGGGATTCTTTCACAGACAGATGCTGAAACCAAATATGCTTATAGGTTTAGTGTTCCTTCTTAGCCATTGTAAGGGAAGAAATAATTGCTTCTTAATACAAAAACATGACATATTATTAATAACTTAAAACATGAAAAACAGGTTTGCTGACACCTTGTCTCAAGTTTCAGACTCTGCTTCAAGACTGATGGAAAGTGGTTGGGCTCTTAAAATTACAGTCAAGAACAGCCATGGAGTTAATGCATATCAAGTCCCATCTGAGTCAAGAGAAGACATAGTGTATGATGTCTGCCCTGTTGAGTCCTACTGTAACTGTACATATGGCTTACGAGGACTTCTTTGCAAGCATCTAGTGTTACTTGCAAAATTAGCAGAGGTTGACAATGACATCTATCCAAACATGGAAACAGACATTTCTACCTTGGCAAGAATTGCAGTGAAAGAAAGGCATTACTTTGTACACTGTGAGGACTTGAAAGTGATAAAAATGCCAAGTTTGTTTGGAAATCTGTTTTTTTGCATCGGCTAAAACACTTCAGTGCACTTGTTGTACGTTCTCTCACTATAACACATGTGCTTGCCTGAAGGTGGCTTGTAGCCATTTTAAACAAATGAAAAACTCTCTGAAAAGTCCTTTATCAACTTTGAATGACACTCCTGTAGTTGAAAGCACAGACAAAAAATGCACAGAAGATGCGGTTGGAAAACTAAATGCTGTTTTAGACACAGTTAAACAG